CCCCCAAATTAATTTTCTGGGTTACGCTAAGTATGAGAAAAATGTTTTCGAATGATCTTTTTTTCTTGTCAAAAATAAAAAGTATAGCCCCCCCGAAACTTTTTTCTAGCTACGCCACTGATATACAGGGTGCCCATCTAAACCAGGCCACCTAAATATCTCCATCAATTGTGACGATATAAAAAATATTTTATACATAAATTGAATTATATGAAGAGATAAATATATTGCAAAAAATATTATTTTTTCAAAGTCATTTTTTTCGGAGTTTTCAAGGTTATCGATGTTTTCTTGCATATAAATGCATATTTTTTTTATTGCATCGTGTAGCTGATGTTAAAATACATTTAGATATGTTTAGATACGTTTAGATACGTTTAGATATGTATATGACATTACTTTTGAATTGACTTTTGACTCTGAAAATTAAAATAAAACTACTGCTATCGCACTACGAATGACCTCTAAAAGCCTTAAGACTTGATCATTTCCAAACAATTTATCAGTTTATCGATCTATTATTCGCGATGAGTTACTCAAAGCAAGATAAAATTGAAAAAGATATTTAGGTGGCCTGGTTTAGATGGGATACTCTGTATGTGTGTGTGTGTGTGTGTATGAATCTCCCTAGTAAACATCAAGCATCAATAACATAACATCGATGTTATTGGCTATTACCCCACAAAAACGTACGTCGAATTCACGTCGAATCCACGTAGAGTTCACGTGGAATTCACGAAATCACGTGGATTCCACGTTGATGTAACGTGCATGTTTTTGTGGGGTACTGGCATCGATGTGACTGACTATACATACAAACATAATAGAAGTAGCCTTCTTTTATCTGCCATGATCCTGTTAACTATATATTTCGCAATAACCAAAATAGAAACATGCAGCAACGTAGTCATTTTATCATGTTGCTGAGTTCAGTTGTTTAGATAGTACAGGACAAAAAGACCATATATAAAATATATATTCTAGAGATCAATCATGAATCTTTTTCCCTAACGTAGACTCGTGATAAGTGAACATTTCTATATGCTTTTACATCAGAAAATTTTCACTTTTTACGAGTTCACGCTAGAGGAAAAGATTCATGACCGATCAACTGATTAGTAATTTCAAGGTTTCCGCGAAAAGGTTTCTCCATAGTTTGTCGACCCTTAATTATAGAGCAATTTTAACTTGTCCGCCCATATGCTCGATTTCAATCATTTTATGAATAAAATTGTTTTTATTATACGAAATAGTAATATCATACATTTACAATAAATTTCATTTTAGTTAATAACACGTCGTTTTAATTTTATTCGCTCACGATAGAAAATATTAATACAAAATTTCGATAGGCTTGGAAATTTATATTTTGTTACTATTAAATAAATTTTCTTCTATTTTTTAATTATAATATTATTCCAATATTAATAAAATTCAGGGAAAGATATATATGTCCTAAAAAAATCACATTTGTGTTTACTTGTTCTTCTCAAGATAAATACCAAAAAAACCACATGAGCAACATTCTTGAAGCTATATAGACTTTCCTACATCCGGAAACTTATCATAAGTTTATCATAAACGTCAAATTTATCCAAAATTTATTCTGAATCTCATTAAGTTTTCTTGATTGTTGGAGCAAAAATCGATTGCAAGTGTCATATTTAGGATATATCTTTATATATCTAAATATATCTCAATATATTCATCAATAAATAACCATAAAATTAACGTGACATGCAATCTAACTTTTTAACTTTCTTCATGATTTTATCACGTTAATTTTGCAGTTATTTATTGATTGTTAGAGCAAAGAAAAATATTCGGTATATTTTAAAGATATACTTGATCGATTGCACGAGTGTTATTTTCAAAATATATCTCTTTATTACGACGTACTTCGCAGGAATTTCGGGCATGCATTTCTTCGTTTCTCAAATCAAATCAAAAGATCCGCGTCAAGTATCTAGGATAATCTTAATAGAAGGATATCAAATAGATGCAAATAGTATTTCCTAAGTTTAATACAATTAGTGGTTTCAACGGAAATCAATTTTCAGTGGAAGAAAAGCAAATTTTATGTAAAATTAAATAATTAATGTAAATCTATTCCTCTTTCCAAGATAAATAAATTGTAATTATGACTATATAATTTTGAACAGCTACAGAAACGCTCTATGTTAAACGACGTAAATAGATTAATCGAAATATTTTTGAAGATGTATGTCATATCTTCTCTCTTAGGAATATGCTGGAACCCAATGGATTAAATTTTCAAGTCCACGTAGAATATATCGGTCAAAGTATTAAGCGTACCTGGCAGTACGTAGGACTGTCAGGATCCACGTCCACGGTGCTAAGAACGTCTGCCTTCTCGGGATCCGTATGTATGCTGACGACGTATATAAGCTTTTCGCGTGGACCTTCGACCATCGCCGCTTTCGGGCTTCTGTAGCCCGGTCCGCAAGAAGAAGAACATGCTGTCAAAAGGCATTTTAGAATGAGGTTAAAATGATACGAACGATTGTGTTACATTTCTCTTTAATCTGACGATAAAGTATAATATCTCACTAAAATCAGTTTAAGGGGACTGGAGGGTCAGATTGCCTGAAAATCGTGCTTGTTTTTCCACAATTTTTTATGACAAACTGAATGAATATGCGAAAGTGTTATTTTGACGTGTATTATACAACTTATAAAGAGAAGAAAAATATAATTTTGATAATCAAATACTCAATATAAGTGTATGGTACATGTAGTTAAAATATATTTAGTTTTTCTTTTCAAGGTCGTCATTTTGCAGTAATATCTTGACTCTCGGTGGTTTAATTAAGCTGAATTGTAAGTAGAAAATTTCCGTAAGCTTGTCGTTATCGTGTGAACCACTATAATAGAAATTGAATAAAAATTAACAAAATTGCAAATATCTTAATGGAATATTATTAAATTTTCAGTTCTTTTATAGTAAAAAAATTAATATTTTAAAATTAAATATTTTCACGAGTTTGTCAGTGGTTCACACGATAACGACAAACCTATGAAAATTTTTTACCTAAAATTCAGCTTAATTAAACCACCGAGAATAAAGATATTATTGCAAAATGACGACTTTAAAAAGAAAAATGAAATATATTTTAACTGCATGTATCATACACTTATATTAAGTATTTGATTATTAAAATTATATTTTTCTTCTCTTTATATGTTGTATAAATACACGTCAAAATAATATTTTATTCATTCAGTTTGTCATAAAAAATTGTGAAAGAACAAGCACGATTTTCAGGCAATCTGACCTTTTAGTTCCCTTAAATATTTATTATTTAATATTTCGTTATTGCGACAGCTTTTTAAACTTCTGTCTTGTACAGAAACATATCGAGTGAGAAGAAATTTATTCTATTATAGAGATTCTATATATGCTTATTACAATATAAATTTACTATTAAATATCTTTGAAACGATACGATAAAGATTATTGAAATTTCTGTTACGCTTTATTAGATAAAAAAAAAACTTTTATATTATATACATATTATAACTTTATTTTTTATTTATTCGAACGTTAGGACACTTTTATAATTAAATCTTCGTGAAATATATATGTTCCATCTACTTTGAAAAATCGTAACTTTAACAATTTTTGACATATCAACTCCGAACAAAGCGGTTTAAAAGATCAAAGTTTTTGGAAAAGATCAAGACTATTTTAAAAAATTTACAATTATTTTATCTTAATATTGTAATCCCTTTATATAGAATATTCGAAAATAGAAGAAAACATAAAAATTCGTAAAATATAAATAAAACTTACTGTTACTAAAAAACTTAATTTTTCTTACTGTTTAGATATTTTCTCTTTCATTGTAAGATACACATAAAAAATACACGTTGCCTACTAATTCAACGTTTCATATCGTTTGCATGCATCAACGAAATGAAGATAATTTACTATGAAATTGCTAATTATGTGTAGAACACGCACGTATAAACGATCAATCTAACCAAGGCCATAACTAATTGTACAAATGTGACGCCGATACTAGTTCCCGCTCTATGATTACTGTAATCGCGTTTGATCGCAACAATTGGACACATCTGATCGTGCCTTTCGCATACCTTTCTGTTCTGCCATCGTGTCGACGCAATGTAGATCGGCTGTAAACTGCGCCGTAGCTGTGACGACTCGTGACGATCAGGTAGACGCACGACGGTGATCGAGGAGAGGGAAACGTGTTCTTGGTTTTAATGACACGCTTCGACTGACAACGCGGCAGTGAGGCGCGAATGTGTCTCGCTCATTGATAATGTATCTCATCTTGACCTTCGTTCGTCAAGCAGGATGAACCGGTTATCTTTTATCGTGAATAATATTACGTCAACCGTTAATTAACACGCTCAAAAAGGCAGTCTGTCTCTCTTGTAATAGTTAACAAATATATTTGTTTGAGCATTTAAGTGCGATATTAATTAGTATCAAATATAATTACTAATATTCTCTGGTTTGCAAAATAATTAGTAAAACAAATTTTTTATTTAACTGAACCAATTAAATAGTTTGGTAATAAAAAATTATTAAATAGTTAATTTTATTACCAAACTATTCAGTTATTACGTTACCTATCTTATTTTGGATAAAGCAAACGATAAAACGATATAACGATAACGGTTTGCTAAATTGTATCTTTTAAATTCAAAATATATCCCTTAACATAATGTATAATGGCGATATATGCTTGTATATTAAAATTGAAGAAAAAAGTTCTTTATCATTTTGCAAATAATCACGTAGATTTTTAGTTATTAATGAAACAAAATTGTTATGTGATTGCGCGATAATGCACAAATCTTCTTTAATTAATATTTAAAAATTTATGTAGGTATTTGCAAAACACTTAATGCATTTGTTAACAAACGCAGCGTATTATTAAAGTATTTTTATATTTTTCACATCATTTCGTATATTTATTAATATCAATATGGTATTATCAAACAATATAGTTTAATTTAACAAACTACGAGGGTGGTCTGAAAAGTTTCCGACCTAACAAAGATACAAGTCATTTTTTCTGAAAATTGTTTTTTATTTTTCAACATAGTCTCCTTGTAAATCTACACACTTCTCCCAGCGATGCTCCCATCTCTGTAACCCGTCGAAATAGTACTCGGCGTTTTTCTCTGCAAAATAATTGTTCACGAAGGTGATTGCCTCTTCATTTGACGAAAATCTCTGTCCTCCGAGCGCAATTTTTAGATGAGGGAACAAAAAGAAGTCGCTTGGGGCTAGATCTGGTGAGTAAGGTGGATGGTCAAGCAGTTCAAACCGTAATTCGTGGATT